TATTATTTATTTTTTTCCATGTATAAAAAAATATTAATATAAATAACATATGATACGACTTTAACAAATTGAAAAAAATCATTTTCGTTGACAAGCAATGATCAATACCAGGGTTGGTATTAGGCTATATTGCATCAAAGTTGATAATTTATTACACTCCAATCACTTTTGATATACATCTCTTCAAAGTTTTATGTTTATTATAACGAAATCTTGTTAACATTTCTTTGTATATTTGGTATTAACATTTTTATGAAATCTTTACTAAAGTGAGGTGAAAAACCCACACCTGGAGAAAAACCTGCACCCATTTTCTTTTTTTTCTTTTATTTAAATTATTGTGTTTTTTACTTTCAGAACACGTAAAAAATAAAAAAGTCGGGTTATTATAGTTTCTTTTTCTTTCTTTTAAGTGTTTTTATTTAAAAATAAAAAATGATTCGAGTTTGATTCAAAATGAACTATCAAAGAACAAAAATCGCCCGGATTTTTACGTACTTTTAGTTTGTTATAACAGTGTTCCAAATTTGTGTTTATTCAAAAAAAAACAAATATACTATTATATAAACTAGATATATAGTTTAATTATTTAAACTATATTTTTAACTTGGAATAGTTTATCAAAACCCAATTTCTAAAAATAGTTTAAATTTTTACAAGACAAATTCTATAATATAGTAATGTATAGTAAAAATATTTAGAGATTTTATTTTTTCTAGACAAATGTTTATTTTTTATCAAAATATTTTCTTCTATATCTATAATACTCACGAGTCAAATTCAATTACGTTTTCACGAAGATGTTATATTAAAGCTCGGTTGTGTTTGTAATATCACCATTTTTAAAATAAGTTCAAAAACAATTAAAAAAAAGTCAAGTTATGTAAAATTTGACACATATCTTTTTTTATTAAGTTGTAAATAAAAACAAAAATTTTGATATGCAAACGAATGTACATCAACAGTACTATAATGTGTCACTGCGTTATATCATACTGTAACATTATACAAACAAGTTACAGAATGTGTTTTTTATCATAACAATCATTATCAATTATAATAAAAAATTATTATATTTTTAATATTTGTTTTTTTTACAAATTAAACAATTGTTTAACTTAAATTAAATAGTTTTAATAAAAATATTCATAAAAACACCACCAACAAACTATACATATTATTATAATTATATTAATATCAACTATTAAAATGACTTAAGTTGTATAAAAATTAGATAAGTTTTATATCCACCATTATTTTTTCTCAAAAAACTTTTATGAAAAATAAAAATTAAGATAAACAAGTTCAAATATTCAAACTCAACACAAACAACAGAGATATGTTTGTGTTGAGTTGTTGCTGATCCCCATTACCGTTTGGCAATTTTATTTATTTATTTATTTATACACATAGTGCATATAAATTAACAATTAGATAATGCAAATTACGCTTGACTAATGTTTGTTTGTTTTTTGTGTTATTTATTATGTTTAAGTGGCTGATAAATACAATTTATTAACTATTAGAAATGGGTTTAAAGTGGATATAAAGTATTGATTTCTTATTGGTATTTTTATGGTTAATAATAATAATAAACGTAATAACAATTTATGGTTTAGATACTATATTAAACTAATCAATAATTAATATTTTAAAGTATGTATTAGGTACTGAACCTTATATCATATTTGTTAATCAAAACATTTAATAAATTATATTAAAACTAAACCTAAAATATGTTCAAAAGCTTATTTATCACTTTATTAGAAATATCAGGATAATAGATATCAATTTTTAATTTCCTAATAATTAATATTTATTATTTAAGGTTAATTTCATGTAGTTTTTATATTGTATTTTAATTATAAGAACATTCTTAATAAAACAAAAAACTGAGACTGAACCTTTTTTCATTCAACAGCTTTTCAAAGAAGAAAAAAGAAAATGGGTGTGGGTTTTTCTTCAGGTGTGGGTTTCTCGCCTCACTTTAATTAAAATTATGAAGACGATTTTTTATTTATCATTTCTAATCTTCATCAACAATACGATATTAAGCAAAACTTTATTGTTGAAAGGTGTTTATAATTTATCAAAGATATGTACTGTTCAATAAAATTATATTTCATAAATTGATGTAACGAATAAATCAATATCAATTATTGGTACATCTATTCACATTTTAAAAATATCAAAACACATTTTTACTTGATAAAATAATTTTTGGATATGTGAAACTATAATTTAGAATTTGTCTTTTTGTAATAACAAAAAATTAAAAAAGTTTTGTTTTTCAATTGAAAAAGGAAAAAACAAAACCCTCATAAAAAGTATATAAAAACACCATTTATTTATCTTAACACAATCTGTTGACTTAGCTTCAAAAGATTTTGTAGAACAAAATTGTCGTTTTTCGTTTTAACAGCCTTAAATAACAAAAAAATTAAACCAAAATGTTTTAAAACCCCTAATAACATTATTTTTTGCCCAATAACAATTCGCAGTAATATTTCACGCCGCAGTGATTTTTCACGGTACTCTAATACAAAAATGTTTAAAAAATTTATTCATTGATCGTTTTTTATAGTAATATTATTATTTATTATATATATGTAAATCAATGTAATATAAAATATGTTAAATTGAAACAATATATTTCTATCGCAAACATTTTTATCGAATTTAAAAACATAAACCTTATGCGAGAAGACGAAATTGTTGGCACATTTAAATGGAAGAAAAAAGGAGAAGCACCAAAAAACTCACGACACGTTAAAGCTTCGCCTGATCAGACTTACTCGTTTGATCCCAAAAGAAGTAATTTAACTGAATTTGAGTGTTTTGGGTTGTTTTTTGTGAAGAGATAACAAATACCATTTTGTTGTTCTCAAATAAAAAAATAGCCAAAGAACATTAGACTAATGGTAACAAACTTTCTGATACTAGCATCCTGAGGTACCCAGGAATTCTTCTTTACATGGGAGCTCACCATGATGTCATTAATCCCGTGGAAGAGCTTTGGTCAATCGATCACGGAAAATCTATTTATAGAAATAGCATGCCACGAGACATGTTTAAATTCGTTTCTTCACACATTGAAACTTACGATGTGGGCCAGCCAGATGATGTTTGTGATGATACATCAGAAACTTCAGATGATGGGGATGTCGAAGAGAAAGAGGAAGCTGACAACGGACCAGTAGGAAAGCATTTCAACTCCGCGGGAATATTCAGATCGAGATTTTAGAGATCTCTCTTACGTCTTTATTCGTCTCCTTATTTATTTTATGTTGTCAAACTTTATTCCGTCTATTATCAATTGTTGAGTTTTTATTAACTTAAAAAACATTTAACAGGAGTCAATTGTTTTTTATTATATTCCAAAAAGTACTAAGGTTAATTATTTAATTTAAATAATACTTCTTATAACCTGTTTAGTTGTGGATCCGATCCCAAACATGCCAAATTTTTCTAGTTATAATATATTTTTTTATTCAATTATGTTTTGTATTAGTTTATATTTTTCAATGTCTTTATTAGTATAAAGAATTCAACTGTATAACACCCAACTGTCTGGTTAAATAAATAACTTAGGGCAACATAAATTAGAGTGGTCATTTTGTCATAGCAATTCTATACCTCGGAATCGATTGACTAAATTTTAACCTTGTAACACTCAATTATTTTGTTAGATAAAATAAATTATAGTGGTCATCAATATGAACTATCTCGTCATCACCATTCTATGTCACATACTTGACTATCCAACAAGTATTCATTTATAAAATTTATTTTCGTTATAATTTACTCTGAAACAATTAATTGTTATATTATTTTCAATTTCTCATTGTTTCCCACCGAGCAAAAAATTGTAAATCTGAAAGAAAAAAAATTATTATTTTTGTCTTTTTGGTTTGCCACGTCACAAAAATGCCACGCAGTGCACAAATTGTTACGGTTTGGATTGCCCTGATTGGTATGGAAGAAAAAAATAAAAGTAAATACTTTACTTGGAATAACACAATTAATTCAAAAAAATATTTAAGGGTTTCTTGAGGATAATGTGTATCCTCAGGATTAAAGCTATCCTTATTAAAACTATTTTTCTGAGGATACAAAAATAAAATCCATAAGGTTCAGTTCCCCATAAGGCCCACTCTCATAACTCAAGTTATAATTTACTCTTAATATTTCGAGCCAAAGTTCGAATTTTAAATAATGGTAATAATTTGTCATAAATGCCAAAAAATTAAATAAAATCAAAAAATCGCCACAATAATCAGTAAACAAAAACAATAATTATATCTCGCTTACTTGAGACGGGAAATAACAAATTGTGTATTCAACTTGTTCATATTATGATTTTATACTTATTGAAATTATTTCCGAATCCGTCTTTATAACATAATAATTGAAATATACATTTAAATTGATAATTGTTTTTTTATCAAAATGAAAATTGAAAAAGTCGAAAACACTGTTTTTCTAAAAATGTAATTTTAAAATAACAAATATATTAATAATTTTGTAATTTATGCAATTGTTCAAATATATTATAATAACAAAGTTAATCATATTGTGTATATTTTAATATGATTGTTTCATTTTGATATTAACTTGTGTTTTAAACAGATTTACAGTTCTGAGGATGGCAATTATTTTCTGAGGATGACAGAAATAGAAAGTTTACACTTTTACATCTATCTGAAATGTATATTGAGTAAGTTACTATTTCTGAATATGGGAACACGTCATTTCACTTTTTAGATGTTTAAGTCTGTGTTGATAAAGTCTGTTTGTTACACGACTTACCATCCTCAGAGATATTTATAGCACTGCCACTATTGATTTAAAATTCTATAAAATAAATTATCAAAGAATTTTTATAAAGTGAGTTTTGTTAATCGATTATACCAAAAATCGTCAAAACACAACAAAAATGCCAAATAATATATAAAATTGATTAACAAATTGAACACATTTTTATTGAGAATTAATATTGTATAAAAAATAATATAAACATATATTTCTTGTGTATATATGTTTTGAAATATAAATAAAACCGTTTAAAACAAAAATGATTTTATTTTAAAAATTTGTTTATTTATCAATCATTGTTTTATCGATATCCAAAACCTCTCGTTTTGAATTTGCGCAAATACATAAATTGTCATCGCATAGAGTATACATTATAAATATGTTATTTGCTATCAATTTTTATTGTTTGAAATATCATGAATTGATTTATAATAAATTATTTTTGTAAAAAAATTAAAAATTGTTAGATTAATTTGTTTTGTGATTTTGATAAAAAAAACGACTTTTTCGATAATTTAAATGTCTGTCAAATGTTTTCATTTAAACCAGGGTTGGTCTTGTGGTAAATCAGAAAATAGAAGTAGATTATTTTTTTTTGTAAAAATCAACACCAAGAATCATCTTTCAAAAAATCCATAAATAGCATTTTTAAAGAAAATCACGTGTTTCAAAATATACCTTTTTGATCTTAGGCAAAAAAATCTAAATTGAAAGAAATTATGTTTAAAATATTTACCATCCTCAGAAAAATTAACAATCCTCATGAATCCCTTTAAAATAAATCAATGATTCAATTCTTCCAGGTTTTCAATAACTTTTTCAATTGAAATTCTTTCTTTGGGGTACTGTACCCAACACGTTTGTATAACATCATACAAAGGTATTGGCATTTTTTCTTTTCTTTCAAGTCGTTTACCTGACATCACAAACTCTGCTATTTTCCATGGGTATTTAAAGCGATCTTTTTGATATGCCTCACTCCACCCAACCACCTCAAACATAGTCACTCCAAACGAAAAAATGTCTGCGCTTTTAGTGTATTTCTCTTGTTTTAGAATTTCAGGTGCCATATAAACTGGGGTACCAACACCTTTTGTGAAAGTCATGTTTGTCATCAGTAAATTGACGTTTCTTGCACTTCCAAAGTCAGTCAATTTTGCATTCACCTTTTCATTCACATCAAGTGATAACACAAGAATGTTGTCTGGTTTGATGTCTCTGTGTAATATCCCATTTTCGTGCAAATATGAAATACCTTTAGAAGCATCAAGTAACATTTTAACTCGCAACTTGGTCTCAATTTCATCACTTCTTTTATGTTTAATTAAGTCTTGTAAACTCCCAAATTGTGCAAATTCAGTGACCATACACATCTTGTTTGGTATAAATACAGCACCATAGAAATGAACTATATAATCACACCTGAACTTGTCTAACATGGCAACTTCCTTCTCAAATTCATCAATTGATTTTTTTTCATCTGAATTGTTTATTTGTTTCATTTTCTTTATTGCAACAACATTTTCTCTGTACATTCCTTTGTACACAATACCAAAAGACCCCTCACCAAGTTTATTTTCTTCAATTAACTCATCATAGTCAAGTCGTGTCGATTGAGAAGTTACAGCGTTGATTGTTATTGTGTTATAATTTTCTTCTTCGGTTTTCAGATTTTTTGAGATAATTTGGATTGTTGTGTTGATTTTACAGGTGCAAAGTGGTGTTAAACAAAGTGAAAATTCGCAAGCATACCCCCTTTTTATTAAAACGACTTCTGGTTCGGCTTTAAAAATAAATTTGTCAATGTTTGTTAATATTGTGAACTGGACTTTGATGACATTTTTGAGTTCATTACCAACACATATCATTGCCTGGCTTTCTTCATTCACTGGTATTTCGCTCGATTCAATATTAAAGTCAACTAATTCAGAAGATACACAAATGCCTTTTGTAATTGAGACGAAGTGAATATTTGATTTGTCCATTTCAAACAATGTTGTTGTCTTGTATATATCTTTTTGGTGTTTTCTGTAAAACACTATTTTTGTTATAAACACAATTAAAATTGTTATTATTATAAAAACAATAATAACAAAAATAACACCAAGAAGTATGACCCACCACACTACATGCGACTCACATAACGTCCCATCGTCATTTGGGATGTTCCAAAATGAACACTTCACACACTTCGAATTTTTAATTTGATTACATGCTGCTATGTTAAAAAGACCAACACAACTTCCGTTTGACAGCAAAACAAGTGAAGAGTCACATAAAGTGCATTTAGTACTGTATAAATTGCATGTTAAACAACTTGAGTCGCACTTCTGACATTCGTTTGTGTTGACTTGGAAATACCCATCGCCACACTTTGAACACCCACTTTGTGTCACCTCAACGCCACATCCAATGATGTTGCTTTTAGGTAAACAGTCGCCGTTGTTTGTCTTATAATAATTGGTGTTGCAGGTGAGACAACTATTTTCATTGTTACACGTTGAGCATTTTTCAGCACATTCAAAACAATTCATTCCAGTTTTAAAATACCCATCTTTGCATACGATACAACCGCTTGTAAAACTTGCAATTTGGTCACATTTATGATTTAACTCTTCGTTTGAGTCGCATTTATAATCGGACATAAAAGTGTCATTACCACAACTTATACATTTTGTTGGTGTTTCAAAACACGTTAAACAATTATCATCACACTTCTCACATCTTTGTGTGTCGTTGTCAAAGTAATACGAGTCATCACACCGCTTACATGTTAATCCATTTTGAAGAACGCAGTTGTTTTCCGCTTTTTCAACACACATGTTGTTAGTTAGAAATTTCCCAATTTCACATTCGACACATTGCTTATTTAACAGATATGAGCATTTCAATATGTCATTTTCACATCTTCCATTCTCATCATTTGGTATTTCACAACTGATTTTCTCACATTTTCCATTTATTGTCATTTCGCTTTTTGCAGCACACTTCGTCGATTTACCATTTTCACAATATTCGGCGTTTGGATCTATTTCATCGCATTTCACACACATTGTAGAATTGTATGTGTACCCGTTAAAACATGAAAGTATGTTATTGCTATTTATGGTATCGTTGTTTTCGTCGACATTGACACATTCACCTTTTTTCAACATATATCCATTGGTTATATTACATATCGCACATTTTCCATCTCCTTTTGTGAGAAGACAATTTTCACCTTTTACACACATTGCGCCTTTCAACACAAAACCCGAAGAACACCTTTTGCACCGATTTGGACCATACAACACACAATTTGTGATTTCTTCACATTTTCCATCAGACAAAATATAATTTGGTTTACAATGAATGCATGTATTTGGTTGAGTACCACATGAAATACATATAATATTTTCACATGGTTCACACTTCTTTGTTGTTGTGTTGTAATATCCCGTAGGACATTCAACTCCAGAAACACATTGAAAAACACTTTCTGTGTTATATGCGGCATTGCAAACAAACTCGTTGTAACTTATTTTGGTTTCTGCAACGAAGAGTACTTTCTTTGTGAGCAATTTCAATTCAGCACTTACAACTTCACTTGACTTAATTCCAACAACAGTAACATCGTTTGCGCTGTAAAATGAAATTTTATTGTTTCCAATTGTCGCACTTTCACATGAAAATTCGTCATCTTCTTGAATTTCATTTTTTGTAGTCTTTTGTTTTTGAGATTCAATTGCAAAAGCAGTGACGTTATCAAAAGGAGTAATGTACCAGTCTTCTGTGTCTTCCCGTGGACAATAAGACTCAAAGAACATCATTTTTTGTGTTGTCAAATCAAAATTGTACAAGTGGCAAAATATCTTTTTTGAACTTCCATATCTCAGCAATTTACCATTTAACAACAATTGTGTGTTATTAGGAAGTGTTCCAGTATATGGCGTTTCCGAGTAAAACAAATCGAAGTCGGTTGCATTTGGATTGACATTATTAAGTGAAGTTACATTGTATGTGAAAAATAAAGGAAAGTTTTTAATAGTTCTTGAGAATAAATTTATTGTAACATTATCAAATGAAGCACTTTCAGAATAATACTCCGAATTTGAAAAAATATTAATTTCCCTACCATTAAAACAATTTAATACGTTAGTCTCAATTTTCGGAATAAGTAAATTGTTATTATTTCCTTTTAAATTGATTTTTCCTTTTGTTTTAAGTATAAATTGACTTGTATTAAAATAAGACTCGTCACCAAATTCAATAACCCCTGCAATCATTTCAAATATATTTTTGACAACAAATGTAGAATAATTTAAAATTCGAATTGTTGCATTTTGACTTAAATAACAATTTGAGTTTGTTGACACATATGAAAAGTTATACATGTTAAGTTGTGAACTATTCTTAATTATAATATCACCATTCACAAACATCTTTGAATTATTATCAATTGTAATAGTCGAAGTTGTTTCAAAATTGACGTTGTTTGTTGCTTCGATCGTTGAATATTCTTTAACAAGTAAAGTTGCTGAATTAGACACCAACAAATAGGATAATATTGCTTTTGCATTTCCTTCAA